TGTGGTGCGTGCTTGGGGGCTTGCGTGCGGGCGTGGGTGTGTGTGTAATGGGCCTGCCTATCGCGACTGATAAGTCGTGTCATGGAAGCTTTTTGCCCGCTGCCTGTAATCTTATCACCTGCAGCAAAAGTAGCACTTCCTCTTGGGAACCTCTGGGAAGCTCCTGACATTTTCAACCAAATCTGTTTTTGTTATCCCTCCCTCTTTTTTTTTTTTTTGATAATTAAGAAACAAGAATTCGTTAAATCAGTTATTGTCTTTATATTTATTGTCGTCACCTTGCTTTGTATGATTTTCTTATGATTGCATGAAGAAACAAAATAGTCTTATTTTTTTTTTTTTATAACTATTTTTAGCTTTTTATGCCTGTCAGTCTGTGCTAACGGAAGGGTCCGGATGTGAACGAACTAAGGTCAAGTGGATTGTGATTTTTTATTTTTTTAATTTCCAGACTGTGAAGAAAGAAGTAGTAAATGCATTTTATTTTATTTTATTTTTTTGTCATTCAGCTTTCACATAGAGTGCATGTTAACTGCAGCACGAACGTACTTTAAAAGTTTGACATAGCATTTCTAGTATCGTTATACATATTGTGAATTTTGATTTGTCTCAAGCACAGTCAACGCGCAAGCCTGCTTTGCACAAGCCAAGGTTATTTTCGTTACTTTTTCTAACCTGATGCTTCCACATTTTATGTCTGGCAACTTAAAATGTGAGATGTTCTCTTGTTGAGGTTCATGACGCATATTGTTAACATTGATGAAGGAATTTACAGGATTCTGCATTGGTATTAAAGGGGATTTACTTTATGTGAATGTGGTCGCTCCATCAGCCGGATGATGATAAAAAAGAAAAAAAAAGTGAACTTTGTAGTAATAAATGGGGTCTCTGATCTGTCACGCTTTATAAAGAGCCCTGTTGTGCACTACCCTCAAATCATGGGCTTATATTTGTCCAGGGCCATTGAAACTGTCTCCCTGTCATAAACGATTTCCTGAGACTTACCCCATAAAAGTATCATATACATTAAAGTCAAAGGAGCTCCAAATGGTCCATTTAAAACGCTACATCCGGCATCACGATTACATTGAACATAAACTCGAATTTACTGTCCCCCTGTTAAAGGAAAAGTGTTTCATTGAACATGTTATTGCTCTGGTAGCTCATGCATTTTTGTTATTTCTCCTGAACATGCCAAGAACAGTATACGTTTCATGGGAATATGTTATTTAAAGAAGTATTTTTGTATTTGGTAGATATTAGTTTTCATATGTTGTGAGGCAATCTGGTATCCGCACGTTTGATTCCACGTGGTTGCCGTGGACAAAACATCGCTCGCGACGCTGAGCTGCTACCTCATAGGAAGGAGCAGAAGAGGGGGGAAAAAAAAAGAGTACTATCGGAATTAAAATCCTCTTATCTGCTCTTCGTTTATTTGCACCATGAACCCAAGTGTCAGCAAAGGAGAAAGGTATGAGGGGCTCCGGCCTCCCCCCCATTGCATTTCTATTATAGTTGAAATTGTTCATGGTCTTGTGCAGAAGGCGCGGAGGATATTTCCACTGGTGTGCTTTTCAATAAAACAAGATTCTTGATGAATTGTGTCAGTGATTGTATGTATTTTTTTTTATCACTCAAATAATGAGCAGGGGCCTCACCTGTAAACGAAAGTATAAGGAGGGTTAGGGGTTTAGATTTAACACTGGCATGACCCAGAGATTTTCTTGGGTTAGGAGTTAGGGTTCAAGCAAGAGGGGGCGGGGGGTTTAAGAGGTTCGAGTTAAATTTAGGATTTGGGATCCCTGGATTAGGAATCCCCCCCCCCCCAAATATTGGATATTCCTGTTAAAAAATTGTTATCCCGTACCTGTCCTGTATTTCAGTTGTCCTGTATTTCGCTGATAGAAGTGCTCACCACTGCCACTAGAGGGCATTCTCGTCATTTCGACGGTGCACTGATGCGCGAGCCCGACCTGCTGTTCATCTTACTGGAGAGGAACAATCATTCAGATAAGCATTCTCGATCGTGTTTGTCCTCATTTCGGTCTCACTTGTTGTATAGTACGCAGAAAGTGTCACAATAAATACATGATACAGTAAAAATGTTTTGTGTGGGCAGCCCAAGGCGCACCTGGACAATCCGACGATCCTGCTATTTAATCAGCATCTTGCTATACCACACCTGTGAAGAATCGCTCACTAAAACAGATTTCGAAAGATTTGTGTGGAATATTTGAGATAAATTGTCCTTTCGTGTACACGCACACAAAAAATGCTGGTTTGTTTTCCTACCCACTCACAAGACAGCTGTCGATATTGAGCAGATTGGATTCATTATTTTGACTCAGTGTTTTGGGGGTTGACGATTGAATTTGTTCGCCATTTTGGGCAATGCACTAAAAGTGAAGTCCATTTTGACCCAATGTGTTCGATATAAATAATCTACCACTGGCTTGCTCCCACTTTGTTTTTGCAATAATGCAATTTAACCCACTAGATTGAAGAGTGGGTATAAAAGTCTAAAAAAATGGGAGCAAAAACTAAAGTGCTGAAAATATATATTTAGAAATGGACAGTCAATTAAATGAAACACTCTGTGGAAATTACTACATTCGTTGTCGAGTGAATAAACCAGAATGTCTATAAATATAGCTTATCATTCAGAGGGGCCTTGAATAAATCACAGGCTCGTGACAGTCTTCTCTTAATTTGGTCCATGGGCCTCCTGGACTACTTTCAAGGGAATTCGAATACTGCCCTGCAGCATGAAATGGCTGCGTAGAAAAAGAAAAAAAAAACATTTCCCGCAGGTAAAACATTTCATTGGTAAAATATCCCAAAAGAGAACAATTGTAGGGTCACCGTGTATTTGACCGCAAAGGGTGAACGAAGTTAAGTGAAAGAGTTCAAGTGTATGTCTATCTATCCATCTATCCATCTCTCGAATGAATTCCAATTTGACAACTACGTTTAAAATCAAAATAACAATAAGAACAATTGCCGAACTTCACTGTAGCCTGCATGGCATTAGTTCCCACTTGGTGGATCCCTGAGCATGATTTGTGTTATTGTGAACCGGTGCAAATTCGTAATTTGGCATTCACAAATTCGGATTTTTAAAATGGAAACAATCCTTCATTCTTTGCTAAAAATGTTCTCTATTTGGTCCTTTTGGGGCGAAAGTACTTGTGTATTACTTTGGCGCTATCTGGTGGAATCCTGGTGGTTTTGTTAGGGTTAAAAATTGATGACTAAAATTCCAATTCAACAAGGTGAAACATTCCTGGATGGGGGTAGCGGTCACTACAAACGTTATTTCTTTTTTTTTGTACTCATGCATGAGAAGTTTAAAATACCAAGTATCTGTACAAAGTTTTGTGAGCTTTTGTTCATGATTAGGCCTTTGAAAATGTAATTCATTGCATAGAAAAATAATAATTTCGACAGAAACACTAAGGACCTCACCGTGGTCACTGTTCGGGCCCTAATTAATGCATTTCCCCATTGGTCAATTTTTTCTTTTGGACCACCGGGCATGAACATCATCAGGTGACTGATTTCGCAGGTTTCGCACGACTTTCCGCCTCGTCGCCCGTGTTTTTGGCGAGCGAGCGTTTAACATCTCGTCTCATTCATTATTTGCTGCTCCTTTTCACTTTGCAAAGGGCCTTCTCTTTCTAATTCCCGAATGACTGTTGTGAGTGCTGACTCGGCTGTTGTAAAACAAATGATATCACTGTCCTGCTGGAATAATCCTCATCTGTTTCAATGCCAGGGCCCGCATTAAAATGACAGACGGGACACCCGCACGCGCTTGTGTGTACGTGTGTGTGCGGGAAGAAACGAAGGAGGGGGGGTGTATTGCCATCTCTTGATAAATGTGCAAATGCCCAGCGACGCTGAATCAGACGTTCGGTGTTAATGTGCGTTCATTTCTCGCCTCATTCTCTAGCAGGCCTTTGTAACGCCGAGCTGGTCATATTTTGTCCCAGATTAGCCGAGTGACAGTTGCCTCTGCTCAAGGTATTTAGAAGACATAATTCATTCATGGATCTAGAAGTGCCCCCATTTGTCATTTAATGCATGGCGCTGTGCTCTAGTGTGTGTGTGTGTGTGTGTGTGTATGTGTGTGTGTGTGTGTGTGTGTGTGTGTGTCAAGGGAGATGAGGGGCCAAGGCACTTTTCATCTGATGTATTAGCTGGCATATGCAAGCAATGAATTATCAAGCAGGAAAAAGGAGTCAATTATCCACTCCTAAAGAGGGGGCCGGGCCTTTTGTGCCTTTGGGGCCCCTTTCCATATTTACCATATCATTTTCACATAAAGGTACACTGGGGGGATCCAAGGAGAGGCAGTGGACATACGCACTTGCACACGCCCCCCCCCCCCCGCTCCGCCCCCCACACTCAAATAAATGTATTTATCGATTGAGTTTTTTGTAAATGTGTATGGCAAACAGATAATATAACGATACTCGCAGGCATATATTATTTATCCTCTGGGAAGAATAACTAATATTACTGCTGAAGAAAGAATTCATTTCATTTAAAAATATTCTTGAAAAATAATAAATTATTTCATTTTATGGGCAAAACTCACTAAAACAGCGACGTACAAAAAGTGAAGAAAGAAATATTGCACCATACATATTATGTTTTAGACATAAAGACGAGGCAGCAGGACTCTACCATTTGCATTCTGGGGTCGAGGTAGTTTGCCATGTTTGTGTTTATATGCACAAAAGTCATTTTTACACCCATCGCAACGGGAGTGAGAGCTGGAATAGCCATGCTCTGACCACCACTTGTCCACCAGTCCCCACATCTCACTTCCCGATCAAAAACGCTCAGCGCTTCTTGACCGACTGCTCGACTACAACTCGAGTTGATATGGTTAGTGAATGTTCATTCCAAAAGTGTCCCCCCCCCCCCACCCCAATGTGACATATTTGACCGTCCTTTGCTGGTTTTGATGATGAC